TGGTTTGGTTTGTCATCCAGGTCATAGTCATTCCAACAAAGTTAAAGAAGCTATAAAAAAAACAAAAAACAAAAAAAACCTAACCACTCCCTTTTCAGAGGCATGAGCCAGTATCGGGTCCTGCAGGCCAACAACGACCTTAACAACTCCCCATTACTAAGGGGTGGACCTGTTATTTGGTTCAGTTTGCATGTTTTCTAAGACATAACAAAGCTTTTGTTTGTGCCACTCTATAAGCCTGGAACTCAAACCCTACTCCAGACATTTTGAATTGAGAAAGCTTCCTGGATGGGAAGCAAAACATCTTCAAACAGAAAACAAAGTCCAGTGGTTTGTTTTTTAACTTTTTGTAATTTAAGCACTGATTCCAATATCTCTGCAGTGTGAGGACTATAAGTCTGATACCGGTGGTGAAAGCTGTCGGTGAAAGCTGGAGAAGGCTGGACCTGATACTCTTCTGGCCTCCTTATTTTCACAGAACTTGGAGGAGGAGTGACAATCCAAACAAATTAACAGAGCCAATCAGCTACCAGAAAGTCTAAGTGCCGTGTGAAAGAGAGGAGGGATGACTGGTTCCAATAAGCCAGCAAAGCAAAGAAGCTAAAATTTAATCAGCCAGGAGCATTTGATTGACTGTCCAACCAGCCTCAATCACAATAAAGCAAACAGCCACTAAATCATTAATCACCCACACAATAAAATGAAATGCAATTGGCATGGACTATGGACGGGTGGGTCAGTCCATAGCTTCACCTTCATCTTGTAGGAACTGCTGACACACTCCAGCCACATCAGGTCTAGCATTAGGAGGCACCCAGGGCCAACTGCACCAGCATATGGTCACAAGGGGTCTGAGGTTCTCACCTCAGTACCTAATGGCAGTCATGCTACCTCTGGCGAGCACAAGGAGGGGTGTGGGGCTCTGCAAAGAAATGCCACTCCACACAATTACTGGCCCACTGCCAAACCGGTCATGCAAAAGGATGTTGCAGGCAGCAAAACGCCATACCACAGTGTCTCCAGACTCTGTCATGTCTGTCACATGTGCTCAGTGGAAACTGGCTTTCATCTTTGAAGAATACACAGGGGGATAGTTGAAAATTTGTCAATCTTGTTATGTCCTGCATGGTGTTGAGCTGTTAGCACAACCCAAATCTTTGTCAGGCCCTCATATCATACTTATAGAGTCAGTTTCTAACCATTTGTGAAGACAAATGCATATTTGTGGCCTACTAGAAGTCATTGTGCAGGGCTCGGGCAGTGCTCCTCCTGTTCCTCCTTGCACAAATTCAGAGGTAGTGGTCCAGCTGCTGAGTTGTTGCCCTCCTACTGCCTCCCCCATGTCTCCTGGTGTACTGCCTGTCTCCTGGTAGCGCCTCCAGCCTCTGGACACTACGCTAAAAGACACAGCAAACCTGCTTGCCACAGCTCACATTGATGTGCCATCCTCGATGAGCAGCACTACCTGAGCCATTTGTGTATGTTATAGAGTCTGTCTCATGCTACCATGAGCGTGAAAGCACCACCAACATTCAAAATGACCAAAACATCAGCCAGAAGGCATAGCTACTGTGGTCCCCAAGTACAGAACCACTCTTTTATTGAGTGTGTTTTTCCAAAGGTCAATTATTTCCACCCGTTGTCTATTCTATTTGCACAACAGCATGTGAAAGTTATTGTCAATCAGAGTTGCTTTCTGAGCTCGAACCAAGATGGTGCTGAGCATGCAGCAGCCTGTTATGTCAGCTCCATGCTCTCCTTTCCTATTTTCCCTATTTTATATTGTTTTTTTGGAATGGTTTTTCTATTGGTGAATACCTTATCTGAAATTCTAAACATATGTGCATGGAAAAAGTCAACCTCTGAGACTAAGGTGTTGAGCTTTCTCCTACTTTCTGCACTTTTTGATGCTGCAATGGGAGACCCCTTTGTCCACGAATCCAAACACCCTATTATCTACACACGGGGCCACCTCCTCTGACTACATGACTCTATGCGCAGCAGCCCTGCTCCCTGTCATGCTGCAAGACCAGAAATCCATGCAAAAATAAGGACAAAAACTGAGAATGCAGGGGTGGCAGGACAAAGCAGAGGGAAATATATTTACCATTGTTTGTCATGGGAAATGTAAGATCTATCCACAACAAGACTGAGGAGCTTGCAGCTTTAACCCACTACCAAATGAGGTACAGCAACGCTAGTATCATGTGCTTCACTGAGACGTGGTTAGATGGATTTGTCCCGGAATCAGTGGTTTCCCTGGACGGCTTTAGACTAATCCGCAAAGTATTTTACTGTATTTTAGCAGAGAGTGGAAAAAGGAGAGGAGGGGGGCTGGCGATGTTTGTGAATGAGAGGCTTATGTTTAAGTGAAGGAACAGATATCCTTCCCGGAGGTGAAGCTACTCATGGTGAGTCTGAGATCATACTATTGTCCACAAACGTTTGGGAGCATGAACGTGTTCTGTGTTTACACACACCCCCTCTGCGGACATCACTGCTAGGTTTGAGCGAATCCACGGCGCCATGGCCAGGCTGCAAACACAGAACCCGAGCTCGCTACTGCTCATCAGCGGGAGCTTCAATCAAGCCTCCCTCCGTTCCACCCTCCCCATGCTCACCCAGTACATCAAGTGTAAAACAAGGGACAATAAAACCCTGGACATTTTTTTATGCAAACATTAAAGATGCCTACACCTCCGCCCCCCTCCCACCACTAGGACTCTTGGATCATGATCTTGTTTACCTGCTCCCCCATTATATACCAGAGGTGAGAAAGACAATAGTGCAGAAAAGGTCAGTGAACTTTTGGTAAGATTATGGACCATGGCGAGTCCCACCCTGGACCTGCTGCAGTTTGCTTACCGACCTGACACCGGAGTGGAGGATGCCATCACCTACCTGCTGCAGGTGGTCTGATGGTGTTCACCCACCTGGAGCGCAGTGAGAGTCATGTACTTTTACTTTTCCAGCGCTTTCAACACCATCAGACCAGAGATGCTGAGGGGGAAGCTGGAGGATGCTGGAGCGGACAGACATTTTGCTGCCTGAACCATCAACTACTGCACCAAACGCCCTCATCACATGTGGCAGCACGGTTGTCAGTCAGAGGTGGCAGTCTGCCGTACCGGGATCCCCCAGGGCACTGTTCTGTCTCTGTTCCTCTTAACATTCTATACCTCGGACTTCACCTACAACACAGACAGCTGCCATCTTCAGAAGTTCTCCGATGACTCAACCATTGTAAGCTGTTTCTGGGGGGAACGAGCTGGAGTATCAATTGGTCATCATGAACTTTGTGAACTGGTGTGAGAAGAACCACCTGTGTCTTAACACAAGTAAGACCAAGGAGATGGTGATCGACCTCAGGAGAAGACCCCCACCTCACTTAAAATGAGATTTGGGGTGCCTAATTATTGATTTTTTAAATTTGTAACAAACACCTTATATTCCATAATTAAACCTGCAGTTCTATTTAAAATTCCAACAGGAATTTGAGTAAGATTTGACCATCAGTATCAATAATTTTACTCCAGTACTATAGCTGAGTACTTCGTCCACCTCTGGCCATTACCAGAACAAATTCACAACTTGTAATTATCAGTACATCCCCAACCATAACCATTACTGGTAGATACCCAACCCTAGCCATTACCATTATATACCCAAGCATAGCCATTACCAGTGTATAACCAACCATAACTCTTACTGGTACATACCCAACCCTAGCCGTTACTGGTGCATACCCAACCTTAACCCTTACCAGTACATACCCAGTCCTAACCAATTACCATTATATACCGAACGCTAACCTTTACTGGTACATACCCAACCATAACCCTTACAAGTACATTCCCAACCCTAACCATTACTGGTACATACCCAACCCTAACCATTACAAGTACATACCCAACCCTAACCATTACAAGTACATACCCAACCCTAACCATTACTGGTACATACCCAACCCTAACCATTACCAGTAAATACCCAATGTACATACCGACCCTGAAATCTAACCATTGCCAATATATACCTAAGCCTATCCATTGACAGCACACCCAGATACTGAGTGCTGGGGATCCAGGGGTCTCGTTACACTTACAGATATTTCCATCAATTTGCATTCTTCCAGCAGCAGGTCACAGCCTGTCAAAGCTTTTCTTAAAGAGCAGCCAGAAAAAACAAGTATCAAGACTTTGAAAATTACTTGATGTTGATCCCTAATGAAAATGAAGACCATCTTGAGCTCATTTCCAGGTCTTGTAGCAGCAGTGAAGAAGGCAGAGGATGAATATTTAGACTGTGGTGAGGAAGATGGGGCTATCTGGAGACTGGGGGTCTCTCTGGATGGAGTCGTGCCAGATTTTAATAGTTGTAGTCAGGAAAAATGTCATGCACCAGTGCAACAGGTGCATCATGTAACAGGCTTCCAAACCTGTAAAATGTGGAACATACTACTCTGTAGAGTCGGATAAACTCAGAGACGAATCAAGACCTTCATGTTTGTTTTGAGCCTAAACAGAAGATGGAAAACAGAGAGAAAAAAAAATGTATCTGAAGCATTATTAAGAGCAAAAATTACTCAGCATGCTTATATAGCTAACATTGGGTGTGGTTGTATTATATGATTTTTCTCAAGCAGAAAAGTCTTTTGATTTCAAGGTGTCCTGAGTTGAACTGTCTTTTGGCCGTTATTTATGTCCCTGGTTTAAAATGTGAATAATAAAAATACTAAAACTGAACATTAATCTCTCAGTTATATAACCAAGACTTCCTTTCTTTATTCCAGTTCAGAGGGAGAGTGAGTTAGAACTGACAGACAGTTTGGGATAATTACCCATTATGTAAGCGTAGAAGTTTTCTATTTAGCTACTTCTTTGCTGTGGAGGTCTGGCTGTGTGGTAATATTATGGCTTCAATAACCATCCTCTCTTCAGGGCTTTTTATTTATGCTTCCCTATTTAACTTTTGCATCTCTGTCTCTTTTCCCTCCTCAGCCGGAATCAGGTTGCTTGCAGTGTGAACTCTTCGAGCAGAAAGATGTAAGGAAGTTCCTTGGAGCACTTTTAAATATTCTTCAAATGGTGAATAGTGAGAAATGCAAAAGGGAGAATATCCAGGTTGCCCAAAGAACAACTTTTTCGGAAGGAGACTTTTAACAAAGACAACCTGCCTGATGAACAAGTCCTTCGGTGTGTTCGATCTGGAACAAGAGGTCAAAATAGAGGTTTGGGCCATGAATGTTCTAGTTCTGTTTGTTTCCGAGGCCGTACCAACTGAGTGCTCAGTGGATGTTCTGGAGGGACCAGTGACCAGCAGAAGATCGGTCGGCATGTTAAAGGTTCTCCCATGCGACTCGTTGACAGAGCAGAATCGGATGAGAAAGTTGGATAGAGATTCTCTGGAGCCAATCATGGATCAGATCTAAAGAACTACTTTATCTCCAAAATGTGAGCAACACAACTTTGTACAATGAAAAAACACAGATTGCTCAATCCTGACATGCTTCCAACATGTTGTGGTTTCCAGGGTGACCCTGACTTTCCTATGGGAGTTAAATGAATAACAGGGTGGGTGGGAATATGGGAGAGGCTAACAGATCGCTGTCTGTACCACAGCTGGGAAATAAACATACCGAATATCTTTTGTTTCCAAAGAAATGCTGTTTCTAATAAAAACCTCTTTAAAAGTCGTCCCCTGTTGTTCTGGGTCTGACTGGAATGTTTTTATACCGGTATATGTTTTATTTTCTTGACTTTCCTTGTTTGAATCATCCCAAAAGTATCTTGTATATTTTAGCTGGTATTAGAATGCTACAACTAAAACTACAGGAATTACTTTCCATAAGTACCTCCTAATTTAAAGTATGGCACTGTAAAAGTACCTACATAAGTAACATGTAACCCTAAAAACACCCATATACCCCAGCCTATAACCTTGCTATTACTCTCTAGTAACACATGGTCTTAGTTTCCCATCAGTTATGAATGCAGGCATAGATCTCAGCTTTTTGACATGAGACAAATTCCTGTTTTAAACCCGTTTTATAGAACTGGCAGCTACGGCGGACAACCGCTGATTTAGAGCGAGCCACTGAAGGA